ATGTGGTGGCAGAGGAGGAGGAGGCAGTGACACTGCTGTGTAGGCCCAGAACTCTGTTGCTTTCCTGCTGTGAAAGGTAAACATTATTTAGTTTTCTTTAAAAAAAAAACCAGAGCAATTTTTCTCAGTTGGGAACTGGGCTTAGCAAGTAAAATTGCTATTGTCTCCTGTCCCTGCTTTGCCCAGTGTAGGTTAGTGATACTGGAAGTCCAGAAGAATTGCTACATTGAATTAACTAGACTTCTGATCACCATAATTTATACAGGACCCCAGGAACATAAGATTTTATTCTTTTTTCCATGGAACAGTAGTCATTTTTGGTACCGTATTTTTCAGAGTATAAGACGCACTTTGCCCCCTCCTTAAAAGAGGGTGAAAATCTAGGTGTGTCTTATACACCGAATGTAGCCAAAAATGCGAGGCATGGAGGAGGTGATGGTTTGTGGCAATCCCTGCAGCCTGGAACAGCTGATTGGGGGTATTCCGGGAGCCCGATCCACCCGCCAGTCAGCTGCTCATGCTGAATCAGACTGCAATAATGTGCTGAAGCTGACCTGGCTGTTTGCTATTTGCTGCAAGGATGTGTCAGAATTGCAGCAGCAATCACATCCAGAAAGCACAGACAAGTAACTGATTCAGCAGGATTCAATAACTTCTCTTTATATATAGTATAACACATGAAGTAAAAATATTTGATACCAAAAGCAGGTTTACCAACCTGGTAAAATACAAGCAAAACACAAGCAGAGGAGTTTCAGTTTTAAATTCAGAGATCAGCACAGCATGCAGCTTTAGTACAGAACAAGTCACACCCAGGCTCCTTGCTTCCTTGTTGCTCACACAGCAAATACTGTTTGTTTCCAAATAGCCCTCAACTCTCTCACACACTGACAGGATGCTAACCAGATGAATACCCTGGATGCTGGAAGGCAGAGGCAGATTTTTTTTTCTTATTTTCCTCCCCAAAAACTAAGATGCAACTTATATTATGGATACTTATACTCTGAAAAATATGGTAATTTAATACTCATGACAATTCTTTTTCCAGCTCTGTAAGCTAGGTTTTGTTATAATTTCTATAAGAACTATACAGTTGATTGATGGATAATGAAAGAGCTAATTGGATACAGCTTTGCACCCACTTTTGCATTTCTTTTTTTCATTATTTTCTGGTATATACAGGCTATATCTCCAGCAGACCTTAAATGACACAGTTGGAAGGAAAATTGTGGTAGATTTCCTGGGCTTTAATTGGAATTGGATTAAAAGACAGCAGATGAAGCGAGGCTGGGGTCAGCTGACATCCAACTTACTACTGATTGGCATGGAAGGTAACCAACTTGCCTCTTTGGACAAGTAATTTGGTTTTAAAAGTCATGTAGTGCTACCTGTTGAGGCATTCCAATGGACAATATGTCAGTATTAGGTCACTGAATTTGGGTATAGTACTTTCTTCTCAATTATAATCTTACCTAATACAATATCCTCAACATGTTCCAGTTAGACTTAAGAGGGAGAGTCACGAGATTTTTTTTCCCAAACAAGTTTTTTTATTTTATAATATTTATACATATCAATCTGAGTGGTGTGATACCTGGGTATCATACATTTCAATACAAATAAGCNAAAGAAGGACTAGGGGAGACATGATAGCAGTGTTCCAATATCTCAGGGGTTGCCACAAAGAAGAGGGAGTCAAACTCTTTTCCAAGGCACCTGAGGGTAGAACAAGAAGCAATGGGTGGACACTAATCAAGGAGAGAAGCAACTTAGAACCGAGGAGAAATTTCCTGACAGAACAATTAATCAGTAGAACAGCTTGCCTCCAGAAGTTGTGAATGCCCCAACACTGGAAGTCCTTAAGATGATGTTGGATAGCCATTTGTCTGAAACGGTATAGGGTTTCCTGCCTAGACAGGGGTTGGATTAGAAGACCTCCAAGGTCCCTTCCAACTCTGATGTTGTATTGTATTGCATTATTGTATGTACTATTGGAAATAATACACAAATTGCTACGTAGACATTTATATTTCTGATTTAAATAATGTTGCACATGTGATTCCACTATTCCTTCCAAATGTAAATCTGCTTTTAATCTAGATTTATATTTTTAAAGATTTTACTCATTTCCCAATGAATGGCAACTATGGAAGTCATTTATTATGAGGCTATGATAAACCTATATAGACAAACGCTCCACAATCCTGATATCACAACATTTGTTCCTATCTTTGTACAATATTTGGTTTCTTGGATATACAAATACAACTTACCCCAGGCCATCATCTGCATATGTCTTATAGTCCTCCAGTGTCAGGTTGTATTTCTTTGCAGCAGCTGCCTGCTCTTCTGGAGTCTTGGGGTATGGCCCTGGAAGCAGATGTCTGGGCAGATCTGAAGCTAAAAGCAGAAATAGCAACAAATGAAAGATAGTGAAGAGAAAAAAAAGTGCAGTGCAGTCTGGCATATCTATATCTATCTCCTGAGTTTTACAAATAAATCAAGGCTTATACATCCAAAACATCTTCCACCTTCTATTTCTCCCACAACAACCATCCTGTGAGGTGAGTTGGGCTAGAGGGATTGGCCCAAAGTATCCAACTGACTTTCATGGCTAAGGCAGGACTAGAACTCAGAGTGTCCAGCTTTCTAGTCTGGTGCCTTAACCACTAGACCAAAAGTATCTATCTTTACTTTTACTGATTGCATTAACGACGTAAGAGGGAATAAAAACCTACGTTACTTGTAGTAATAGAATACATGAATCCATTACTTAGTGCCATCTTAGAGTAAATTCAGATGGGATAATTAAAATTAGTCCATCAATGAAAAGGATCAAGGTTACTTTTAATAAAATTGTATTGAAAATAGAATTTTACAATAGAAACCACAGAAGCTACAGAAAGTAGAACAGAATAGACGCACTAGAAGACATCCAAGTTTCCTTCCAACTTTTCTTATGATATTAAATATGTAATATAAAGTATATATAATGTGTGTAATATAAAGTGAGAAACAGAAACAAAGAAAAAGGAAAATATTTAAAGAACTGCTTTTCTTTAAAGCAGTTATTAGCATAATTATTACCACTTTCTCCCTCCCAAATTATGTATCTTGGTTTTCTTCTTTCCATAAGCCACATTTTTAAATCAGTAAATCCTGAAATCACTAAACCATTTGTGTCCATTTTCAGAAAAAAAGTCCATGACTTTTATCAAAGTAATTACTGTTCCTTCCCTAAGTCAATTTAAACCCTTTTAACAAGTTCTAGCATCTTCACAACCCACTCTTCCATTGTGGGTGGTTCTGTATATATATATTTTTAATCTCAGAAGATTAAATCATGGCAGCTGGACTAGAGTTTATGAAATGCTTTTGGCCTGGTTGATTGAATCTTCATTTACAGGTATTTTTGTGTGTTGCCCTAATTCCTTTTGTTTTGGCTACCTGACCCCACACATCATGATTTAAACCACTAGTAAAAAGGCTTGATTTAAATCAACTCGATTTAAATCATAATTTTTAAAGAGCAAGTGTGATCTCTGTCCCGCAGTGGCTCCTCCTCTGACCCGCCGTTGACTCATCAACAGTCCCATTCACTTTAATGAGATGGTTGGTGACGCGACAGGGACACAACATGGTGAAGGACATGGCAGGCAGCAGGTGAGTGGATGCCCGCTAATAGTCGCTGCCATGATGGATCTGAAATGACAGGTGCTCTTTAATACTGTATTTATAAGCTGCTTAGAAGGTTTCACTTTCATTTTTACTGCTTGCCCTTCCTCCTCACGCTTAGAGCCTGGTACAGAGGCATTCCTCTTCACACAATCATACAGTTTGTAGTGTACATAGGTTTGCAAAACAATGGGATAAAAGAATATACCTGAACTTTATTTTATGATTTATCTCATGGCTACTGTAAAATTGTGTGACTGCATCCATGTGGTCCATGTTCTCTCAGCTTGCAGAGCTTGGATTCATTGAATGAGTTTACCAAAAATGTAAACACTGCAGAATATACAGCCTGATGCTACACAACTAAGCTCCATTTCATGCTGAAAAAACTAAATTATCAATGTATCTTGAATAGAAAACTATCTTTAGATTTTTTTACCCCAAAAGTACTTTATTAAAATAAATTTGATAAAAATAAAAAAACCCTAATTTAAAAAACCCAATTTAAATTTAAAAAAATCTGTTCTTTTATTTATTTTTATCCACCCTGCTCAGAAACCCGCATTAGGAACTCTGGGAGTTGAGGCCCCTGAGGAATTCTGGTAGCTGAAGTCCACAAGTCTTAAAGGGGAAAAAGACAGCCGACGTCCGTAAGTCCCCCCCCTCCCATCTGTCCCGCCCAGAGCCCAAGCTGCAAGGCCGCCCCCCTTCAGCGCAGAGGTACTCACGGACCGAGGCGGCGGCTGCCGTCTCCCGGTGCCAACGGCCAGGAGACCTGGCGGAGGAGAGCGCGGAGGCGGCCCCGAGTAACGGTGGCGGCCATGGCGTCTCTCAAGGGCGGCCGCCGGGTCGAAGCTGAAAGCTACAGGACTTCCTGTTGGCCATAGAATTTTCCTGAAAGAGAGCCGCTGGCCTCACAAGGGCTGACCCGGAAACAGCTTGCGCCACCAGGTGGCGCCAGACGCTCCAATCCCATACTACGCTTCTCAAGCCAGAAGGGGAGAGGCGAGTCTTACGGGGCTCGATGGTGCTTTCTTCGGCCATGGAGTCGCTCCCCCCCCCCCCCCCCCCTCCCTCTTCATTACGCTGTAGCCACCTGGCAGATTAGCGAGCCCCGGACATTTATTTTATGTATTCAATTTAAGCATCTCTCACAGAAACTTAANTGACTGTTACCTGCAGTTCAGCGGTTCTAATCGTTCAGCGGTTCTAATCTCATCGGATCAAAGTTGACTCAGCCTTCCATCCTTCCGAGGTGGGTGAAATGAGGACCCAAACTGTGGGGGCAATATGCTGACTCTGTAAACCGCTTAGAGAGGGCTGAGAGCCCTATGAAGCGGTATATAAGTCTAACTGCTATTGCTATTGCTAATATAGAGAAAAGAAAAATATTTTCTAAGTACAGGAGGAAATGTTCCGCCATCTCATTGGAACTCCCAAGATTTATCTTGAGGTATAAAAGCCAGCTAGAAATGAATGTAGAAGATAAATTCATCCAAGGGTAGTTGAAATAGCCCGATATCACTCATTCAATCACCTTCAAGAAAGGAATTTTATTTGCCAACCATGTATGTATGTATGTATGTATGTACGTACGTACGTACGTACATATGTACATACGTACACACACAGACGTGAAAATCACGCCACATCACAAAATCTTCAGAACTGTAAAGCCTACAACCTTGAAATGTGGCATATATGTTCCTCTTGGCTTCTATGTGCTTGCTTAGAAAAGATTTTTCGAAACGACCATCGGATCATTAGTATATATTGTATTATTGTTAACAAGCATTAACATGCTAAGGAGTTTTACTCATCCCCCCCCCCCCAAAGATCTCTGTTCAAACTGCCACTTGGGCATGGCCAGCGCATGACTCATCCGGCCTACTGGCTGGGAGTTTGAGAGGAGCCTGAAGGAAAGAAGGGGGTAAGATAGGAGAGGTTTCTGTGGGGCAAGGCTGAGGGAGAGAAGAGGATAGGATAAAATAGGGGAGGATTTGGTGGGACAAGGCTGAGGGAGAGAAGGGGAAAGGCTAGGGGAGGATTCTGTGGGGCAAGCCTAAGGAGAGAGAAGGAGATAGGATAGGGCAGGTTTCTGTCTGCGCAGAGGTGGTGTGCGGCTGCTCACATTTGCGAACCGGTAGCAAAGGTAAGTAGATTTCACCCCACAGATTAGGTGAGACCTGGCTCAAAAACTAACTGAGTGGGACCTTTGAATCTTAGTGGAAGATCACCTAAACATGAGCTGGCAGTGTGCAGCACCTGCCAAAAAAGCTAATACAATCCGTGGTCGTATAAAGAGAGGCATAGAATCAAGATCAAGTATTAGTGCCACTTTACAAAACCCTAGTAAGCCCACACCTGGAATACTGCAACCAATTTTGGTCACCATAGTAAAAAAAAGATGTTGAGACTTTGGAAAAAATTCAGAGAGGAGCAACCCACCTTTGACTCTACTCCTATTCCACTCCACTCCATTCCATCATATATTTATTGTTATTTAACCAAATGTTAGCCATTCAAGGAGAATCCTTGACTAAGGCTAAGATCAGAGCCCCAACCTATCATCACAACCCAGACAGAAGTGGGTTGCTGCTGGTTTGGCCTGGATCAGCTGAACTGGTAGTAGCGGCGACGGGAGACTCTGCCTACC